AACCATAATCCAAAGTTGTTTGTCTCTCCAGAAAGTCGCTTTCCCCTCTAGGAAATGGATATGTTTAGAGGACCTCTGATGATGCTATTGTTTGTGTTGGGTTAATATTGATATTAATTAATGGCTCTGCCTCCAAATTGTGAGTCTTCTCATTTGTGTGCTGTGAACTGGGCTGGGGGTAGGCCATCATTCATGTTCTTACGTGCACTTGCATGAAGAGCATAATGCTAGTGGACCTTGTCACCAGGAAGGCTGTGTCCTTCCCTTCTGCTTGTACTACATCATTAATGTTATTTTTATCATGTTGCATTCTTGTTATTCATTAATTATAATAATACTTTAATTTAAAAAATAGTATTATTATAATTATCACCATAATGTAATCATTGCTTGATTATTATAACTGCTATAATTATGTAATTAATGGTATATTAATTCATGCTAAGAAGCTCAGGTGTTCCCTTTTTGGGACTATAATTACCGTGTAACATAGTACTCTATCCCTGCATACTATGTATGTACAGCCTCTACCACTCCTGGGGATATCGACTTGGGTTTTTGCCCTCTGTTAACTGGGCACAATTATCAGAGTCGATGTCATCACAGTTACTTGAGCTTTAATATTTATCCTCATAATATATGTCACAGGAAGAAAACTTTTATTCCTAATTTCTCTTTGTGAAATGGCAATGATTTGAGCGCATTATTTTTCCACCCTGTTAGTATTTTAACCATATTCTAACCACTGTTAAAAGTCCTCATGTGTGGCCGGGCGCGGTGGCTCACTCCTGTAATCCTAGCACTCTGGGAGGCCAGGGTGGGAGGATTGCTCAAGGTCAGGAGTTTGAAAACAGCCTAAGCAAGAGCGAGACCCCACCTCTACTACAAATAGAAAGAAATTAATTGGCCAACTAAAAATATATATAGAAAAAATTAGCCGGGCATGGTGGTGCATGCCTGTAGTCCCAGCTACTCGGGAGGCTGAGGCAGAAGGATTGCTTGAGTCCAGGAGTTTTAAGTTGCTGTGAGCTAGGCTGATGCGCAGCACTCTAGCCTGGGCAACAGAGTGAGACTTTATCTCAAAAAAAAAAAAGTCCTCATATGCTCTGTTATCCTCTCTGACATGAACACAATTACAGAGTATCATTGATGTTATTTGCATTTGTGTTACCATTATACCTGTGGTTAAAACTTCCATAAAGAAGTTTTAACTTCTTCCATAAAGAAGTTTTCTCATAAACTAGGGGAAAACGATTCCTACATGAGATAGACCCAGGTACCCAGGAGCAAAGACAGCAAATTTTCTGACCACTTTCTGTGTATTCAGCACCATTCTAAGTACCTTACAGATACTTACTCCTCCTGACATACATCCCCACAACGTAGCTAATGTAATTATCATAGTTTTACAGTTGAGGAACATGAGGCCCAGAGAGACTAAATGTCTTATCAAAGGTTGCACAGTGAGTAGTAACTGGTAAAGTCTGGATTTGAACACAGGATATAACATGAGTCTAGACCCCAAGCTATCTACTTCTAAGTTTCTTGTGGTGATTAACAAGCTATAATCTTCCCATACCACCAGTATTTTTACCCTACATCAATATTATGTTGATACATCAATGAAGAAGGTTGTTGACATTCTACTTTCTCATCTGTAAAATGGTCACAGGCCCCGGGGAATGTTCAGAGTCAGAGGTGGGGGTAGTGTTAATGAGTAGAGGTGCTACTGATAGGCAGAGAGGGTGGAGGAAGCAATCTTTCTCTCCTGCTTTTATTGGGAGATTCAAATGAGGAAGCTCCATACATATGCCCTTAGCAGAGAATCATAGCCCAGCAAACATATCTCACAAATTCATGGTATTTGGCAATGATCTGGTCCTGAGTGCCCCCAAAGACAGGGTGAAAATGAATGGCAGAAGGCAGTGTATAGCGCCATTCCTGATGCTCCGAAAGTCAATGACAGTTGCTGATTTTCCTCCCCACCCTGACACTGCCCTTTCTTCCTGTAGGAAGACACGACACGTCAACATCTTGCTGTTTATGGGCTTCATGACCCGGCCGGGGTTTGCCATCATCACACAGTGGTGTGAGGGCTCCAGCCTCTACCACCACCTGCACGTGGCTGATACACGCTTCGACATGGTCCAGCTCATCGACGTGGCTCGGCAGACTGCCCAGGGCATGGAGTGAGCCTCCCGTCCTGGGGAGTGGGAGGGGGAAAAGGGTGGGGGAGATGAGGTAGCCCCCAGCCAATTCGCCACTGCCTCCACCCCACAGCTACCTTCATGCCAAGAACATCATCCACCGAGATCTCAAGTCTAACAGTATCTGCCTGTCCCTGGGCTGGGATTGGGGTGGGAGCATCAAACAGGGTGAGGGCTTAGAGAGATGGCGTTTGTGGGGGCTTCTGGAGATGAAGAGGGAGGGATATGTGTCGCATGGCTCCTTGCCAGGTGGCAGAGCTATGGCTGGTGGAGGGCTTTGATGGGGGTCTCTTGGTTAGGAGTCAGAGGTGTGGCTGGTTCAGGTACTATTCTTGGGGACTCTGGTTAGAGTCTGAGGTGTGGCATTATGGGGGTTCCTGATCCACATTAGAAGCATGGTGAGTTTGGGTGCTATTAGAGGGGCTTCCTGGTCAGGAGTCACAGTGAGGTCAAGTGTGGAGGGCATTAGTTGGAGCTCTCCACCCAAGTCAAGGTTGTGGAGAGTTTGTGTGACATTGGGGGGCTCCTGGTCAAGGTGAAAGGCATGACCGGTGTAGGGGCATTAATGGGAACCTCTCAGTCAAGATGAGAGGCGTGGCTATTAGGAGTCCCTGTAGTGGTCCTTGACCTTGGTGGACATCTTCTTACACGAGGGGCTCACTGTGAAGATCGGTGACTTTGGCCTGGCCACGGTGAAGACGCGGTGGAGTGGGGCACAGCCCTTGGAACAGCCCTCAGGTTCCGTGCTATGGATGGTGAGTTGGGCCAACCTGGACAGAGGCCACATGAGGACATGGGCTCCTTCCTGGATTAGGACATGTGGGGCTGGGTAGGGACAGTTATGCCTGTGTCAGGTGTGGGTGGCTATGAGTTGTTCCCAGTGTGGCCATTGGGATCTGGGACTATGGGCCAGCCAACTGCTGACCCCTGTGGTCCTCATGCCTGGTCTGGCTTATCATAGGCCGCTGAGGTGATCCGTATGCAGGACCCGAACCCCTACAGCTTCCAGTCGGATGTCTACGCCTATGGGGTTGTGCTCTATGAGCTCATGACGGGCTCACTGCCTTACAGCCACATTGGCAGTCGTGACCAGGTGAGCCGCACACCTTACTCATGGTTTTCCAGCCTGAAGCATCACCTCAGGCCTCCATAAAGTCCAGAATCCCCTGAATGCCCCTAGGCCTGCAAATACCCAGAAGCCCACTAGACCCCTAGACACCTACAGTCCTCTGCTCTGCATACTCAAAATCCTCCAAAGCCCAGAATCCCATTTCTCCCAGAAACAGAATCCCTTTGTGCTCCCAGAATATTCACAGATACCCACAATCACGCAGGCCTTGGGTATCCAGCAGGCTTCGGGGCCCTGGTACCTATAATACTCTAGGCCCCAGACTCTCAACAGTTCTCCCAGTTCAAGGCCCAGAACTTCCCAGACCCTCAGAAATTCTGGATTCTCTAGATACCAAGTCTTTGGGCCCTGAACATTCACAGTCCTACAGGCCACATGGACCCATGGACCTCAAGGTCCCAGATCCCCACAGAAACGCAAGCTTCCCCCAGACCCAGAACTGCATGTTTCCCTGAGACTCAGTACTTTCCAGGCCTCTAAGCCCCCTAGAAACCTGTGAACCCATAATCCTCTGGGCCTCAGACACCTACAATCCTTAATAACCCCAAACTTAAATCCATTTGTTTTGTAAGCAGAGAATCCTCCCAAGTCCTCAGAAACCCAGAATCCTCTGAGCCCCAATACCCAGAGTACCCCAATTCCTCAAAAATGAGCTGTCTAAGTCCCTCAAGACTGAATTCCCTGGGCCTCCCAGCCCTGGACCCCAGATCACCCCCTTCCTCCCCTGACAGATTATCTTTATGGTGGGCCGTGGCTATCTGTCCCCGGACCTCAGCAAAATCTCCAGCAACTGCCCCAAGGCCATGCGGCGCCTGCTATCTGACTGCCTCAAGTTCCAGCGGGAGGAGCGACCCCTCTTCCCCCAGGTGGGCTGGGTAGGAGGGCTGGATACCTTTGGTGGGGGACTCATATATAGAGGAAGACTGAGATGGTGGCAGCTGTGAATGTGAACTGTATTCAAAGCTCAGAGATGTAGTGTGTGTGTGTGTGTGTGTGTGTGTGTGTGTGTGTGTTTGTGTTTCCCCATTAGGCTGGGGTCTGGGGGTGTTGGGATGCCCATATGGGTCAGTACACCCCTCTTCACTCCCATCTGCCCCCAGATCCTGGCCACAATTGAGCTGCTGCAACGGTCACTTCCCAAGATTGAGCGGAGTGCCTCGGAACCCTCCTTGCACCGCACCCAGGCTGATGAGTTGCCTGCCTGCCTACTCAGTGCAGCCCGCCTTGTGCCTTAGGCCCCACCCCCAGCCACCAGGGAGCCATACCAAGGAGCCTTGCCCACCAACCAATCAATGTTCCGCCTCTGCCCTGATACTGCCTCAAGATCTCCCATCCCCCACCCTGGGAGATGAGGGGGTCCCTGTGTGCTTTTTCAGTTCCTCTGGAATTGGGAGACCCCCCCAAAGACCGAGACTCCTGCCTCTTCCATAATTTGGTTCTCTCTTGGCTTTGGAGATACTTCTAAATTTTGGGAGCTCCTCCATCTCCAATGGCTGGGATTTGTGGCAGGGATTCCACCCAGAACCTCTTTGGAATTTGTGCCTGATGTGCCTTCCACTGTATTTGGGGGTTCCCAGCACCCCATGTGGATTTGGGGGTCCCCATTGTGTTTTCCCCCACCATTCAAGGACTCCCTTCTTTCTTCATCAAGAAGCACAGAATTCTGCTGGGCCTTTGCTTGTTTATTTTGTTTCCCGACTCTTCTCTTGGGGTTCAGAGCCGCTGAGGGGTAGGGGTGAATCCAGGCAAGGAGTGGAGGTCAGGGGGAGGTGTGGACCACACAAACAGCGTCACTGCACGCATCACCACAGGCGGCACGATGAACGAGGACCACATATGCCAAGCACGGCACAAGAGGAGGCCACGTCAGTCACAGACACAGACATCACAGCAAAAGGTGGGAAGTGGGAGACCACTGGCCTTCCATGTGCAAAGGATTCTGGGAGGATGTTTGGAGTTTGCATATTTAAAGACAGCTGTCAGAGGCAGGAAACTGGCGAGGGGGTCCCTGGGGAAACCAAGGGGTCCTGGAAGTGGGAAGAGCTCCCAAGTATTGAATAGGCTTGAGAGGAGTGGGTGAAGGGAAATCCTTGCGGTGGTGGGTGGCATTTGAGTTGTGGATCTCCAGAGAGTGGGAGATCCCTGTGAAGGGGCTCAAAGGTAGGAATTTCTTGAGGATTTGGAAAATTTTCGTGGAGACCAAGGTGTGCTGGAGAGATTCAGCAACAGGATTTTCCAGGAACTTCAGGGTTCCAGGAGGGGATTCAGTGGTATTAGGGGCCACAAATGGGTTGCCTGGTATTTGGGCACTTCCAGGAAGGAAAGCACCCTCTGAGGGGACCAGGAGCAGAGGTCTCCAGGAATTTAGAGGTTCTAAAACTGAGAAGTAGATCTCGAGGTGACCAGGAGTGGGGTTCTAAAAGGACTTGAGCATTCCAAATGTGAGAATTGGATTTAGGACCAGGAGTGAGGTTTCTCAAGGGACTTGGGGCTCTTGAGGAATGAGAAGTGGGATCTTAGAGAACCAGTAGAGGGGTTCTCAAGGGATCTGGAGATTCCAAAAGTGAGAAGTGGATTCAGGGCCCAGAGAGGGGTTGCCCAGGGATTTGGGGGTTCTCAGGGTGGGGTGTCAGTCGGAGAAGAGGCTGGCGAAAGACTTCCTCAGGCTGCGGATGGTCTCAGCTTTCACCTCGTCCTGGCTAAGGCTGGGCCTGGGCGGGGCTGGCTCTGGAAGGTTGAAGGCATTGGTCAGAGACTGGGATTTGCTAGAGAGAGACAAGGTAGAGGCATGGGAGGAAGGGGAGAAGAGGAAGGGGAGGAAGGGGAGAAAAACACAATGTTACCCCAGGCCCAGCCCCAGCCCTGCCCCTCTGATCCTGGGGCTGTGCCTGTGACCTTCCCACCCAACACCTTGGGCCAGGACCCTGACAGGTTCTCAAGGCTGGGAGGACTCAGAGTTGAGTGGAGTCCTGGGCCGGGGAGGTGGGATCTGGGACAGGCTGGGGGAGCTTAGATCCGAGGTGGAGTGTGGGATTAATGCGAAGAGTCCTAGCCAAAATCTTCTCTTTGCTTTCTAGTTTGATACAAAGGGGAAGAGGAGCAGAGAGGTTTCCCGTCTAAGTGTAGGGGAGGGGCTTGGACCAAGGACAGGCTGGTGGGGGCAAGTCAACCTAAGTGGGAGCATCTGGGTGGGGCAGGGAGGACTTTTGAGCTGGGGGGGGGGTTTGGAATGGACCAGAAGAGGCGGGGAGAGAGAAAGGTGGATGATTTGTGGGGAGAGTGGGACAGGCCAGAAGGATCTGCAGATGGACCGGAAAACAGCCCCAGACTGTTGAGGAAAGTATGAGGACGGACTGAGAGGAGTGAAATGACAGGAGGTGGGAATGGGCTGGGAGGTACTGAAGGTGGGCCTACGAGGTGCCTGGAGTGGGCAGAGAGGAGGAGACTTTCCCAGGGCCTGCGGGGAGGAACCCGAATCCAAACCCAAAGCGGAGTGTCTCTGGGATTCTGGCACCAAACAATGGGGCTGGAGGGGTGAAGTGAAAGCTTGGGGGAGCGGGTTGGCTCAGGCTGCAGAGTTCCTGGGAGCCGGATAGGACCTGGATTTGAGGAGCACAGGGACTTGGGCCGCCCTAGTGGGCAGGGGCCTGCTCTGTGAGCAGCAACTTGAGGGCTGCTATAGGGATCCTCTTACTTGAGCTGGGGATGCGGGGGTCCCCCGGCAGCAGCGGTGGCGGGTGGCAGCACGTCCTGGCTGGGTTTCTGGGCCAGCTGTGGCTTGGCAGGACGTCCGGCAGGGCCCGGGCCGCTGGGCCGAGGCTGCTGCGTGGTGGGTGGCCCAGTGCGGGGCATGGGACCCCCCTGGCTGGCCTGGCGTGTGGGGCCAGTGGGGCCAGGGGGTTTCTGGGGCGGGCCCTGGCGCTGCTGCCCACCCGGTTGGGCCCCAGAGGCCTTTGGCAGAGCTGGACCAGAGACAGATGTCTGGCGGGTAGCCTGTGGGGGGCCCGCCTGGCGCTGGGGAGACACAGAGGCGGGTGGGCGGGCTGCTGGAGGCGCCCCGGGGCCTCCTGCCACCGGCCGGGATTGGCGGCTTTGACCTTGGGCCTGGGACACTGGCTGCTGGGGCGTTGATGTGGGACTTGGTAGGCGCTGGGGCAGGGGGCTGCCAGCTGGGGGCCCAAGGCCTGAAAGGTGCTGCTGGCCCTGCGGGGGCGGACGCTGCTGCAATGGGGGTCCCTGGCGCTGGGGGCCTGGGCCCGGCTGTGGAGGGCCGCCTGGGGGACAGAGAGAGAGAGAGAGCGCACATAAGAGTGGAGCAAGTGAGAGGTGGTGGGCCAAGCCCGGAGAAAGCCGGCCCCTCACTTACCCTGTGGAGGGGGTCGTTGCTGAGCCGGGGGCCCAGAGGGCTGCTGGGAGGTCTGGCGGCCCAAGGGCAGGGCCCCTGGGGACGGAGTCTGTGGCAGAGGAATCGAACAGGAGAGGTTAAAAATAGTTACCAGCCAGTGGAGCATCAGCTGGTCATAATGACACAGGTTCCCTGTGTGCTGGGTGTGTCCCATTTGTGGCAGAGCAGAGGGGATGTCGGGTTGTGGGGTGGGGGACTTGCTCCCAGGGGAGGGATAGGAAGGCACTCAGGGAAGTCTGGGCAGCAGCTGTTTATCAAGTTTCTAAACAACTGACAATTGCAGCCGTGTGTACATAAGTCACAGCTGTGTGTGCATAAGGGCAATGCTATTAGCCTACTGGTTATCTGCTCCATGGCACTGCATGACCAAGGGGCCTGACCTGGCTGTGGGAGCCCCTGCCAGGGGAGGCATCCCGCTGTCGCTGCCGGGGCAGGGCCTGAGCCATCTTGTTGACCACAAGCTCTACGATGAGCTGCTTGTCTTCGTCCTGGTGGTCACCGATGAGTGGCATAGAGGAGCCCACCACCTGGGGGAGGGAGGGGGATCAGTGAGGGGAGAGGCAGGACTTGTGCGTGGGGAGACAGTAATAATGGAAGCGAGCTTCAGTTTATGAGAGGCACTGATTGTACACTGTGAGGAAGGTTTTTCTTTCCCAAGATACCTTACAGCTTAAAAGGTGCTTCAGAGCAGAGCTCAGCAAATTAGGGCCCAGCCCACTTCCTTTTTTTTTTTTTTTTTTTGTGAAGCAGAGTTTCACTCTGATGCCAGGGCTAGAGTGCCATGGCGTCAGCCTTTTAGCTCACAGCAACCTCAAACTCCTGGGCTCAAGCAATCCTCCTGCCTCAGCCTCCTGAGTAGCTGGGACTATAGGCATGCACCACCATGCCTGGCTAATGTTTTCTATTTTTAGTAGAGACGGGGTCTCACCCTTGCTTAGGCTGGTCTTCAACTCCTGACCTCAAGCAATCCTCCTGCCTTGGCTTCCCAGAGTGCTAGGATTACAGGCGTGAGCCACCAAGCCTAGCCAACCGCCACCTGTTTTTGTATGGCCCACGAGCTGAGGATGGGGTTTTTATTTCGTAACAGTTGAAAAAAATCAAAAGATTTCATGACACGTGAAAACGATCTGAAATTGAAATTTCAGTGTCCATGAAATAAGTTTTGTTGGAACACGGCCATACTTACATTTTTTTACATATTGTCTATGGCTGCTTTTGCAGAGTTGAGTAGTGCAACAGAGGCTGTATGGCTCACAAAACCTAATATATGTATTGTTTGGTCCTTTATAGAAAATGTTTGCTGATCTCCACTTTATACTTTGCTAGGCGTTTTGTCCTGTACAAAGTGCTTTGCTGTTGGCCCAGTTTACAGAACACTTTAAAGGTTACTAAGCGCTTTGCCATTCACCAAGATGTCTCTATTCACAGAGCGCTTTATAGTCTAACAAGCATTTTGATATTCACCAAGGAGGTCCAAGATCACAGAGCAGTTTAGAGTTTACCAAGTGTTTTGTCATTTGCCATGGATGTCCCCTTGTAACGTTCACAAGGTACTTTACAGTTTACTAAGCACATGGCTGTTTGCTGAGGACCTTCCGAGTCACGGAGCATTTCACAGTTTGCAGTGTTGCTGCCTCATACCCATTCCTCCCTCTGTGTCCCAGTGATCCCCGGGTGTTCCCACCTCAATAATGTGATCCCTTCCATCCTTGCCATGTAGTGCTTCCACTGCACAGATATCCAGTCCCCCAAAAATCTCCGAGCACGTATCCACCCACAGCTTGTACCTGCCAAGAAGAGGGGCAGGGAAACCTGTCAGTGCCTTGCCCGGCAGCCAGGCTCTCGCCTCCCTTCCCTTCCCCACCTGAGTACGGCCACCCACCTGTCAGACATGGCGATCTGCTCAAGCATCGCAGAGCCAGTATTGGTCTTCCAGTTCCCTGACACTGACGTCCTCCTGGGGGAAAAGGGGGCAGAGGCTCAGGGGGTCCTTGGCTGCCTGGGGCAGGACAGGGGACCCTTCCCTGGGCCTTGGTCTCTCCACTCACATGTAGGCCTTGTAGTTCTGCCCAATCTTCTGGACACGTACATCATATTTGGCATCAATGAAGGGCTCGGCAGTGGCATAGGTCTTGGTCAGTGCCACAACACTTGCAATGTCCTGGAAGTCATGCTGGTTGTCCACTTTGACCTGTGGGGGGTGGGGGTGGGGATCAGGGCCTGGTTGGATGGGGCAGCAGTGGGGACCAGGGGTGCCTGGGGGCATGTACACAGTACACACAGGTGAAGTGAGTATACAAAACTTAAGTGGACATGCCAAGGCACTCAAGCATGCATGATTGTGGGACTCCTGTTTTGTACATGTACACAAGAACACAAAGTTGGGTGTGTACAACTCCGAGCATACTAAAACCACTAAATTGTCCACTTTAAATGGGCGAGTTGTATGGTGTATGAATTATATCTCAATAAAGCTGTGAAATAACTGTCTATACAGTATACACATATGGGTACCCAGACACAATCAGTTGTACACACTATATGCAAACGCACAGAAGCTTAGACACTTTCAAACAAATTACAAGTCTGCTTTCTATGTACGCACAGAGACAAAATCAGATGGATGGAAAGCATGCAGGACCCCAAGACCCTGGAATATAAAAGGTTGTATTGTGTGTGTTCAACACACAGGCATGGGTGTATGCAGAAACCCAATGCTGGATACACTAGCAAAATAACAGGATACACAAAATTACCTGAATGCACAATAGAAAAATGGCCTGACAAACTCAGCTGAATGTGAGAAAACAAAAATCCAAACAGATAAAAACACCCCAGGACACACAATTATACACAATTACTGGTGTGTGTCATGCAAATACACATCTACCTACATACTCGCAGTGCCAGGAGCACACACTGTACAAACACGCACGCACACACCCTAGCCACAGACTCACCTTGCCCATCCCAGAGTGTGCGTGCCCCATCTTCACAACCACAGGGTACGTTGTGCTGCTGAGCTGATGGAGGCAAAGGCAGAAAAGGCATGGTTAGGGCAAGAGGGCTGACCTCCAGGGCCGGGAGTGGTGTTGAGGGGACTCTATCCAGTGGAAGCCACATTACGAACCATTTTCCAGAAGAGGTGGGTCAGAGATGGGCAGACAGCAGTTAGGGGTCACACAGCACCCCTGAGCCCAGAATCAAACCCAGAGCCCTGCCTGCCTGTTCCTCCCTGCACCCCCCACCCCCACCCTGAGTCCCAGACTTCCCGCCCCTGCTTTCTTGGGCAGCGGCATGAGTTGAGGGTGGGGGAGTTTTCTGGAAAAGAGAAAGTTTGTTTTTACAGTGAATGGATGATAACGAGGTGAGTGTGTGTGTGTATGCGGATGTGGTGGTGAGCATGTAGCAACTGGACCCCTCAGCCAAGCCTTGCATGTCAGCCCCATCCACACAAATAAACAATTAGGGACACAGGAACCCTCGGAACTTAGATCTACACCACTAAACAGCCCATCATGTTGAGACTGACAACCAACACAGGCTCAAAGCACACCTAGCTTTGGGGTTGCACAGAGACCCTTGCAGCCATTCAGCCAGCTGGGTGTTCATAGCAGGGGACAGCAGCCAGCACTCCTGGGCAGCACACACTCACCACTTAGACATATGATCAACACTTTTGAGAACACACACAGGCTCCCTCCTCTTGCCCAGACCCACACAATAGTCAGGGTTGTACATAACACAAAGGATTACCCGTGCAATACCGAGGCACACACGGCTCTACAGGCACACACAGCTGGACCCTTACTCAACACAAGCACACATGCAACACTCCTAGGCACACGCACAACAGAAGGACCTACACGACATACAGAGGTGTGCACTTTCAAGTGTCCACATCACCACTGAGATCCATAACAGACCCACACCACACTCCAGGACACACAAAGAGTGTATCTAGACACACTCACACAATACCTTGCTGTATATACAACATAGAGACACATACACACAACACAACCAGAGACACAGCTCTCCTAAGTGTTCAGACAACACTGTTGGGCACTGCCCCCAGCACACATTCAGGAGGAGGAGGAGGAGAGGGAGGTGGAGGTGGAGGATAAGAATATATCGAATTTCCCCTGACCCTGGGTGGGTAGGGGGAACTGGGTTGGACAACCCCAGCCCCACCATAGCACATCTGCATGTGCAGGGCGCCTCTGGCTCTCCCTCTCGCTGACAAGGTAGAGAGATGGCATTCCCGGAGGGGCTGCTGGGGCGGTGGTGGTTCCCAGTTCCCGACAGGCACAGGAAGCCCGCAGACTCAGGGTGACCGATTGACCTTCAGGCCCTGCCCTCCTTTTGCACCACCCCCCTTCCTCATTTCCCAAATGACTGGCGTCATTATAGTGGGGGCTGAGAGGCATGACGATGGGACAAGGGGTTGGGAGGGTCCTCTGGGCAGCGTGCCAGGGAAACAATGCCAAGATGGGCCTGTGCAGTGCCCCTCAGTCATGCACACAGCACAGAAGGGAACAAGGCATTCACAGTCACTTATGCAACCTAGCCTGCTTGACTGAGGCAGATACAGAAGTCCAGAAGCAACACACAAGACACAGGCACACACCTGCCTCTCAGAAATGGACATACAAGCTGGGCGCGGGGGTTCACGCCTGTAATCCTAGCACTCTGGGAGGCTGAGGAGGGCGGATTGCTCGAGGTCAGGAGTTTGAAACCAGCCTGAGCAAGAGTGAGACCCCCGTCTCTACTATAAATAGAAAGAAATTAATTGGCCAACTAATATATATAGAAAAATTAGCCGGGCATGGTGGCGCATGCCTGTAGTCCCAGCAACTTGGGAGGCTGAGGCAGGAGGATCACCTGAGCCCAGGAGTTTGAGGTTGCTGTGAGCTAGGCTGACGCCACAGCACTCACTCTAGCCTGGGCAACAAAGCAAGACTCTGTCTCAAAAAAAAAAAAAAAAAAGAAAAAAAGAAAAAAAAAGAAAAAGAAATGGACATACAGCACACCGGAGAGCTGTGCTTACGCACGCATACCTCCCTCCACCCCCCGAGGTTTCTAGGTCCCTCTTTTCATGAACCACCCGTGTTTATTTTGGACCTGAGCCTGAACACAGCACTGTGCATGTGTGTAAGTGTGTGCCTGCACACGTGTGCCTGCAGGGAGCTTCGGACTATGACTCCAGGATCCCCTAGAAAGCCTTAGGTTTGAATCTGGCCTCTCCTCTTCCTAAGACCATGTGGGACCCCAGGCAGGTCACTTGATCCCTCTCTGGGTCTCAGTTTCCGGATCTGTACAAAGGGCACAATGAGGCCCAAGCACCTGGTATGCTGTGGGGTTCGTCAGGTATCTGCTCTGCACGTGCCAGCTGGCCTCCACGATCCCCCACCCATCTGGCTCCCAGGTGGTCACACACCCAGGCATCCTTCCATGCCCCCCCGCCCCCCCCCCCGCCGCTGCCTGTTTAAATCTGCACAATAACCCAGATACACACAACTCCTCACACGTAAACAGTCGGCAAAACTCTGTGCTGACTCAGGTTTCAGAGTTAGAGAGCTGGCGTCAGAACCAGGGTCAGCAAGGGGCTGAGGCAGGACTTTCCCTGCCCTCGCTTCTCCCTAGACCCTGTTACTCAGCCCCCTGTCTCATTCACTCTCACTCCCTCACTTTCACAATTTGCTGCTTCACATTTTTTGGTTTACTTCCCTTCCTCCTTTTTTGGTCCCTCCAACAGAGTCATTTCTGCATTCTCATTCCTGGGCAGGTCACTAGACCCCTTTTTGTTTCAGTTTCCTCATCTGTTTAACGAGAATATGAGCTGTGTCTAACTCACAGGGATGTTGTGAGGAATCAATTAGTTCTTTCTGGAAAACCGTTTAGCACAATATCTGGCACACGGGAAGCCTCAATCCTCAAAGAGCACTGAGTACTACTATTACCATTGCTTTAGCATCCCTTCCTTAACTAACAAACATTAATGAACCACGAGGTAATGCACATATACAAACCATTTAGAACAGTCCCTGATACACCGTAAGTGCTGGTAGTAGTTTCTGTTGTGTTCTGTTGTTATTGAGCTAACATCCCTGAGTTAATCAAGCTATTAATTAGAAAAGATGTAACAGGGAGAGTGAGTGAGACAATTTATACAAAGACTTCAGCATACAGTACACAGTAAGTGCTCAATAAGTTGCTGCCATCATCACCATCATCATCATTATTACTGGTCTATCCTCCCCCGAATTAACCAAGGATGTTAATCAGGAACCTAGGGAAGATTCCAGCATCACCAGGAAACTGGTGAGCAGGGATTGCCCCACCCCACCCCCCACCAGGGGCGTGGGATGGTGGTGGGGAAGGGGCAGGGCAGGATGGGGTGTGGACTGGTTTTCTACTGACTCACTTGCTGCTTTCACCACCATTCACCCCCCTCCCAATGCTCGTTAATTCACCTACACCATTCCTGCCTTGATAGCACTGTGCCATTCCTGGGTTAGGATCCCGGGGCCAGTTAGCGGAGGCTCGAATCCCAGTCAAGACCTGTGATCCTGGGAAAGTTCTTCCATCACTCTACACCTCAAATTTCCTCATGTGTAAAATGGGAATAATACCGGTCCCCACCGCAGATGCTTATCATGAGCTTTAAATAAGATAGATTATGTTGAGTGCCTGGTACACAGTCAGTGCTGGCTATTTGCCCATGTGTTTTGAGAAGAGTTGAGACTCAGGCTCTGGCTTCAGGCCATCTGAGTTCCAGTCTCAGTTCTGCCAGATATTAACTCTGTGATCTTCGATAGGTCGCTTAATCTCTTGGTGCCTCAGTTTCCCTTCCTTGTAGTCCTCCTCCTTCACCTGCCTCATCTCCCTCCACTGTGTCTACTTGTTTCCCCTCTGCCCCCCCTCATCAGAATGTCAGACACACCAAGAAAGGGATTTTTGTGTGCTTGGCACACAGTAGATGTGCAATAAATGTTGAAGGGATGAACTAATTCGGGCTTCAGCCATGGGGACCTGGGGATGTGGGTGACTGGTAGGATCTGGAGACTTTAGGGGACTGAACTGGGGGAATCCTGCTTCTATGCTCTCCACTGAGGCCGCCTGAAGGAGCCGGTGGCCTGGCCGAAGTGGAGTTGGGGGAGGGGGCTGGCCAGGGGGAGGGAGAGGAGGAGGGTGTATCTCTTCTCTCAGCGCTCGGCCCGCCCCTTGGCTTCTGCGCTGATGGTGGGCGGATGAGTAATGCATCCAGGAAGCCTGGAGGCCTGTGGTTTCCGCACCGCTGCCACCCCCGCCCCTCGCGTGGACATTTATCCTCTAGCGCTCAGGCCCTGCCGCCATCGCCACAGATCCAGTGCCGAGAGAGACACCAGAGGTAAGCAGGGGCCTGGGTGGCCCAGCAGGGCCTGGGGCAGGGCTGGAGCTTGTGCGCTGGGGCCAGATGCCCGTCTTCTTGGCCTGGCCTGTGAGTACCAGGACCCGGGGCTGGTCAAGGCGGAATGGGGCCTGGATTGGAAGTTCTTCCCCAACCCAGAAACTCCACACTTCCTCGAACCCCTGACATCCATCCTTAACTCTTGCAAACCTATGCCCCCTAATACCACTACTGCCTCCAATCCCCCAAATTTTCTCATTGCCCCTGCAGCTCCCTAAACTCTCCCAGCTCCCAAATCCCCCAAACTCCTCCATCCCCATTTCCCTAAGCCTCAAAACTTCCTCTGCCCCCAAATCCCTCAAGAACCCCCATCATCTTGAGCCCCTGAATCTCCCAAACCCTTGAACCTCTAAACTTCCCCAGCTCCCTAAAGCCCCAATATCCTCCAAATTCCTCAACCTCCCTAAATTCCCACAGCCTCCTGTATCTCTTAATATACACAAGCCCTAAACTCCCAACCTCCCCTAAACTCTGCCAGCCCCCAAACCCCAAATTCCTCAACCTCCAGACTTCCTCAGCCACTTTAAATCCTCAGACTTCTCCAACCCTCTTATTCCCGCAATGCCACAA